CAAGAGAAATAACTTACATTTGAATGGAATTCCAAAAAAAAAAAAAAAAAAAAAAACCACAGAGAAAATTGTCAAAGGTCTGTTGGAAGAGAACTACTTCCCTAATATGATGAAAGATGAAACAATATCTATCTATTCAAGAAGTTCAATGAACCCTCAAAAGGATATACCCATAAAGAAAATTATCAAGAAATATCATAATCAAACTTTCCAAAACCAAAGACAAAGAAAGAATTCAGAAAGCAGTTTGGGAAAAATGAAGGGACAGCCAATAAGTCTAAGCTCTGATTTCTCAGCAGAAATCATTCAGATGAGAAGACAATGGGATGACATGTATAAAACCCTGACAGGAAAAATTTGTCAACCAAGAATTATATAAACCAAACAAAAACAAACTCACTGCTGTGGAGTCAATTCTGAGTTACAGCAACCCCCATTGGGCTTCTGAGGTGATAAATCTTTACAGAAGTAGACTGCTCCATCTTCCTTCCATGGAGCAGCTGATGGGTTTGGCTGCCAACCTTATGATTAGCAGTCAAATGCCTTAGGCATTGTGTCACCAGAGCTTCTTAAGAATTATATGTCTAGCAAAATTGTCCCTCAAATATGATAATGAAATTAGGACATTCCCATAAAAACAGAAATTAAGGGAATTTGTAAACACCAGACCAACCTACTGTTAAAGGGATCAAGATGCTAAAGGGAGTCCTTCAGACAGAGAACCAACAACAGCAGAGAATCAACACACCTGACAACCTTACCCAGAAATCAAGCCAGATACAGAAGTATCTAAAGTAAAATAAACCTACAAGACTGAAAATTGAATCAGAGACAACAATTTATAAATGAGGACAACAACAAAGCAAAATGAGGGAATAAAGAGTGTAGTTCCAGAACTTCCAAACGGAAAGGAAGTCAAGAAAATTTCAAGACAGAGTGGACTGTTTTAAACTTGGGAAGAAAACAATACATTACAAGGTAATCTTAAAGAAAATGAATTAGCCTTCTTATCAAACTAAATAATAAAAATTCATAAATATTTAGCAAATATTAA